TACTAGACACTATATGCTTCTAGACAATCCTGTTGTGCTTATATCCTGGTTATGGAGTGAACTTTTACTGGATTATAGAAGGGCTTGATGGCTCATCTTACATTTTTATGCCACAAGTCCGGGCAACTGAATCTACAATCAGGAGTTGTATATTTCCACAAAAGGAGTTCTTTAGGGACTTATCTTTAAGATGCACATTTTGCTAAGTTGGAGCTTATCATTTGTAACTGCCTTGTGTGTAAGCATGTTTTCGAGTGGTTTTGTCTGACGCAGACTTAAAAGCCTAGAATGCCTTTGGGAAAATGGTGCCTTTATTTGTTCCTGTATTCATAAGCTTGTGTATGCATTCATTGTAATGTGCTTTGGCCTCATTTAAATTCCATTTTGCAAATTCAAATATTGCAGCGATGTTATTGTTGTGTGCTTTCAAGTCATTTCCGACTTGTGGCGACCCTAAGTCAACCCTACTACAGCTATTTCTTGGCAAGATCTGTTCAAGGTGGGGTTGCCTTTGCTTTTCTTCTGAGGCTGACTTATCCAAGGCCACTCAGTGGGTTTTCATGGCCAAGTGGGAATTCTACTTCTGTTCTCCAAAGTCTAGTATCTAAACCTCTACAGCTGCTTTCAAGTTATTTATCTGTAGCATAGTGCACTGGGAAGTGAGTATATACCACATTTAGTTACCTGTCTCTTTGATTTCCATAGAGCTTACTGGCTGTTTTTGCTTGATCATTCCTTGTTGGAATAACCCTTGGTTGTCAATAAGGAAATTCAGTTACTGAGTTGCTGTGAGTTTTCTCGGCTGTATGGCCATGTTCCAGAAGCATTCTCTCCTGACGTTTCACCCACGCCTATGGCAGGCTTCCTCAACAGTTGTCTGTTGGAAACTAGGCAAGTGGGGTATATATGTCTGTGGAATAATGTCCAGGGTGGGAGAAAGAACTCTTGTCTGTTTGAGGTAAGTGTGATTGTTGCAATTGGCCACCTTGGTTAGCATTGATTGGCCTTGCAGCTTCCACTGCGTTTTAGGAATTTTATAATATTCAATTTTTTTATAATTTTATAAATGAGATTTTTATGTGCTGTTGATTATACTTATGTCATCGTATATATACTTATGTATTGTTGTCTGCATGCGGCACTTTGAGTGCTTCTATGAGCTGCCCCATGTCCCTTTGGGGAGTTGGTGGTGGGGTACAAATAAAATATTATTATTCAAAGCCTGGTTGCTTCCTGCCTGGGGGGATCCTTTGTTGGAATTGCAGGCATGAAACAATCAGGGCCAGCTATCACCTCCCAATAAATGACCCCCCCCCCAGGCAGAAAGCAGCCAGGCTTTGTAGCTGCAAGGCCATTTGGTGCTAATCAAGGTGGCCAATTGCAACATTCACACTTGCCTCAAACAGACAAGAGTTCTTTCTCCCGCCCTGGACATCATTCCACAGATATAACCCCACTTGCCTAGTTCCCAACAGACCTCACAACCTCTGAGGGTGCCTGCCATAGATGTGAGTGAAACGTCAGGAGAGAATGCTTCTGGAACATGGCCATACAGCTCAGAAAACTCACAGCAACCCAGTGATTCTGACCATGAAAGCCTTCGACAACAAATTCAGTTATTACAAACACCATTCATTTATTTTGCAATAGATACGTATACTGCAAATCCAACTGGAAGAATAACAGCATTTCAGTATGTTGCCCCAAACGTACCCAAATTACACACTTCACATACTGGTTTCCAACCAGCTACGCTCATGTGTTTTTGCGTAAGTCCATAAACATAACATAAATAACAAAGCCTCCCCCAAAATATTGTAATAATTAAACATTGTTCTCCCGCAACAGCTTGTTAATAGACTACAATTTCAGAAACAGGCTTTGGAGTTTCATTTGCATCTTGGTAGTTAAAAGGGATGAAACAGAATTTCCAGCTTACGAATGGATCCACATCCCAAGACTCCTCTTTCAGCTCAATGTGCTGCCGCCTCACCCAACACATGACTGCAATAAGAAAACTATTGACAAAATAAAGCCAGGGGACATTCATTTCTATATATGCAGGAATCTGAGCACCAAGTAACACGATGAGGGTTTGAAAGAAAACAAATGGTGCCCAAGTGCCCATAAAACAGATGAAGAGTCTTGTCAGGAGGTGCTTTGTGTGATCCTTAGGGCTACACTCAGTCACGTAAGGGAAGAAAAAAACAGTCTGTCTCTCAAAGGAAATTAACGTAATTGATAGTACCATATGCACAATGTCTGACCAACAGAATACAAGAACCAGGCAAATAATGAAGAGCATTCCTAATGAAAGCCAGAAACTCTGGCTGCTGATGGACAAAGGACACCGAGAGTTCGAAACGTGATTTTTTGCATCAAGCCCCGTGGAGCTGCCTGAAAGGACATAATAAAGAACCAAAATCCACGTGAAGACAACGGCAAAGGTATACAGCAATGTCCAACACCGATTAGGAGACTTGGAAGTTTGAGTTATTGTAATGTAGTAATCCAAAGCAGCAACCAAAAAAACTGGATAATGTAAGATCCCGTAGGTTAAGGCTGCGATCTGAGCCAAGAGGCAAATATGATACTCGGTGAAGCGGGTACCCCAAAGCATAAAGTTCTGAAAGTAAGAGATGAAAGCCATCATCACGAGAAGCACCAAGTCAAAAAAGGCTACTGAAATGCAAAAGTAGCTCAAAAAACTCTCGCGGAGAGTCTGCTTTTTGACTCGCAAAACGTATAGATTGAGTACGACTTTTCCCAGCATGATAAGCAGAAGAGCTCCACTAGCCTCCAAGGAAGGGAAGATGTGTCCATGATGAAGACGAAGAAAGGAATAATCCTCACAGAAGATAGCAGCCATTTTTTCAAATGGGGTGAACATTATTTCTGGTTCATACCTACAAGAAAAGATAGAGCAATGTTAGCTATTTAGAAATTCAGAATACACAATTACCTAAAACTGCACGGGAAAATTTCATTTTGTCATATAATCCAATCTTCTTCAGCGGCTATACTGTTTTGGAGATATGTTCAGCTGTATAATTGTTCAATGTATTGTCAAAGGCTTTCATGGCTGGGAATCACTGGGTTGTTGTAGGTTTTCTGGGGTTATATCATCATCATCATCACTTTATTTCTTAATTAGTCGCTCTCCACCAAGGTGCTCCGAGCGACTTACAATTTAAAACAGTTTATACACAATATAAAACATTCAATATAAAAACATTCAACATAAAAACATTCAACATAAAAACATTCAGCAGTGACTATGGCAAAATTTGATCCAGTTACTTAAATGCACAACCAAACAGCCAAGTCTTGAGCGCCTTTGCAAAAGGTCGCAACTCCGACATTGCTCTAATATATGGAGGCAATGAGTTCCACAGAATTGGAGCATAGGATCGAAAAAGCTCTACGCCTTGTAGCTTCCAAATGTGCCTCCCTAGGACCCGGTATGTAGAGGAGATTTTCCTGGGTGGATCGAGGTGACCACTGATGGGGAAAAGGAATGAGGCGGTCCCTAAGATATAAAGGTCCTTGGCCATTTTGAGCTCTAAATGTCAGGATCAGTATCTTGTAAGAGATCTGATGTTCTGTTGGTAGCCAATGCAGTTGTTGAAGAATCGGTGTAATATGGGATCTTATAGATGATCCCGCTAGCAGCCTGGCTGCCGCATTTTGGACCATTCGAATCTTCTGGGTCGTTGACTTCGGGTCGTTGACTTATATGGCCAAGTTCAGGAGAGAAACGTCAGGAGAGAATGCCTCTAGAACATGGCCATATAACCCGAAAAAACCTACAACAACCCACTGTATAATTGTTGTGATTTGAATTTTTGTGAGCTTTCTGATTGATTAGAGGCCCCCTAGTGGTGCAGTGGGTTAAACTGATGAGCTGCTGAACTTGCTGACCAAAAGCTCAGCAGTTCAAATCCAGGGAGCAGGGTGAGCTCCCACTGTCAGCCCCAGCTTCTGCCAACCTAGCAATTCAAAAACATGCATATGTGAGTAGATCAATAGGGACCGTTTCTGTGGGAAGGTAACGGTACTCCATGCAGTTATGCTAGCCGCATGACCTTGGAGGTGTCTACGGACAACGCCATCTCTTCAGCTTAGAAATGGAGATGAGCATCAACCCCCAGAGTCGGACACGACTAGACTTAATGTCAAGGAGAAACCTTTACCTTTATCTTATTTGATTGATTAAAACTCTGTTTTGACCCATTTTTACTGATAGTCATACATCAAGCAATCCATAAATGTAGCGATAGAAATACACACATTACAGCAGCAGTCAAAACACACATTAAAAACCTATTAGAATAGAAACATTTTCACGGAGCAAAAAAACCTGACAATTGAAATCTTGATTTTTCACTCCTGGTGGAGAATTCCTCTACCTTGGGACTATTATACGTATACTTACACACACACAAAAGTGTTAGCTGTTTTCCCCACACCACTACATGATAGACGCTCCCACGAGGATGGTAAAACATCAAAACATCCGGGCGTCCCCTAGGCAACGTCCTTGCAGACAGCCAACTCTCTAACACCAGAAGTGACTTGGAGTTTCTCAAGTCATTCCTGATATGAAAAAACAAACAAACTATAACCAATATAACAAAACGCTGCTGGATTTAATACTACTCACAAAAAGGATCCAACATCATTTCTTTAAAAAGTTATCTTTGTTTTCCTAGCATCCTTCAGGACTTAATCATACCACATTAATATGGCATCCTTGCTCTTTTCAGCTGTTACAAGAATGAATATTGCAAACCGAATTGTGATGGGATTCAATCAAATACACTTTTTATGGAAGGGGGTCTTAAAACTAGGCTGCCCCAGACCTCATACAACCTGAGTAATGAAGAACGCAGAAGAAATCATCTTTCATGACCTGGGCTTTTGTTAATCTAGGCCAAGATTATTTCCGTATTCTAGCAGTCATGTTGCACTATTGGCTCATACATACAGGTCACGGCTGCCAAATCAGGTCTTCCTGGTCTTTTGAAACTTTGTACACTATGACCCCAGGATCATACTGTACAATCTGGGGATCACAATCAGACACAGTGAAGACATCTGCCCTTGTGCATTGCTACTCTGCTGCTGAGTACGCATGCCCAGTGTGGAATACATCTTACCATGCTAAAACAGTGGATGCGGCTCTTAATGAGACATGCCACATTATCACAGGATGTCTATGCCTTACACCATTGGAGAAAGTATACTGTTTAGCCGGTATTGCACCACCTGATATCCGGTGGTAAGTAGCAGCCAGTAATGAAAGGCATTGACATCTCTGGCCATTCTCTGTTTGAATATCAGCCAGAACACCAACGCCTTGGATCATGAAATAGCTTCCTAAGATCTACAGAGATACTCGCAGGAACACCTCAGCAAGCGAGAGTCCAAAAATGGCAGGCTAAACCCCAAAACCTCAATTAATGGCTCATACTGAATGAGAGACTTCCTCCTCAACATACAGAGGACTGGGCAACTTGGAAGGTGCTGAACAGACAGCGCTCTGGCACAACGAGATGCAGAGCCAACATTAAGAAATGGGGCTACAAAGTGATCCATGACATGCGAGTGTGGAGAAGAGCAAATCACAGACCACTTACTACAATGCACCGTGAGCCCTGCCACATGCACAATGAAGGACTTTATAGCAACAGCAGAGGCACTCCAAGTGGCCAGTTTCTGGTCAAAGGACATTGAGTATAATGGTAAGTTTTTAACTTTGTTTGTGTTTTTAAATACATGATAACTGTACCCTCAATTCGCTTCTGACATGATAGGTAATATGACCCCAGGATTCCTGGGATCAATATCCACAGTTTCAGATATCCACAACTAACAAAAGAGGTCCTTTCTAAGTATTTTTAATGTCCCCCTCAGGAAACCTGCTACAAAACAGGAGCTTTTTTGTTGAGTTCCAGGGCCAGAGAAGCAGATGGCAGAAACAGAATTACTCAGGTATTCCTAGGTCACAACTTACTCTTTTCAGTAGTTTGCTAGATTATTCATGATTTCACGTATCCACACAAAGTCTGGAAACACATTCCTTGTGGATATAGGGGTCGTGTTGTACTAAAATTCACTGGAGACTAAAGGAGGGACACAGATCCCCAAAACTGAGAGGAGCCCTGCCTGTCTTACTGCTGTCAATCAGTTCATGGGTCAGCATTGGTTGTGAACTACCTCAGTGCCTGACCCTTACTCTTGCTGGGAGGAAACAGCAGGCAAACCCTGCTCACAGAAATAGATTCCCACCCACTCTCATCTCACAGGAGTGTCCATAGGCAGAAGTTTATTTTTCCCTTAATAAAATTATGGGAAGGAATGCATAACAAGGGAGAGGAATGAAAGATTCAAAGCCCTGGTGGGAAGAGGCTTCTCATGGAAAACTGACCCGTTACTTCCCGAGCAGACTGGATTGCTACTCCATGGTTGCATTACTTTCAGTTCTGTGTGAGAGTTTTCAAAAATCTTTATAGCATAGCGTTTCTCAACCTGGGGGTCGGGACCCCTGGGGGCGGGTTGCAAGGAGGTTTCATAGGGGTCACCAAAGACCATCAGAATATATATATATATCTGATGGTCTTGGAACCCCTTTGGCAGAGAAGGCTGAAGATCTCTCTGCCTGTCCTTCTCTTTCTTTTTGGAAACAGATGATGAATCCTCCTACCAAAAGGTCTCCTCCTGCTGTAATTGTACGTGAACTATAAATCCCAGCAACTACAACTCCCAAATGTCAAGGTCTATTTTCCCCAAACTCCACCAGTGTTCACATTTTGGCATATTGAGTATCCACGCCAAGTTTGGTCCAGATCTATCATTGTTTCAGTGCACAGTGCTCTCTGGATGTAGGTGAACTACAACTGCAAAACTCAAGGTCAATGCCTTACCAAACCCTTCCAGTATTTTCTCTTAGTCATGAGAGTTCTGTGTGCCAAGTTTGGTTCAATTCAATTGTTGGTGGAGTTCAGGATGCTCTTTGATTGTAGGTAAACTATGAATCCCAGCAATTACAACTCCCAAATGACAAAATCAACCTGCCCCCCAAACCCCACTAGTATTCAAATTTGGGCATATTGGGTATTTGTGCCAAATTTGGTCCAGTGAATGAAAATGCATCCTGCATATCAAATATTTACATAGCAACAAAACTTATTTTATGGTTAAGGGGTCACCACAACATGAGGAACTGTATTAAGGGGTTGCGGCATTAGGAAGGCTGTGAAATACTGTTCTAGTGCCTCTCCACACAAAAAGGGAAGGATGAGTGTCATAGGGTTTTCTTAGGCAATCAGAGTTGGAAGAGACCTTGTGGGCCATCCAATCCAACCCCCTGCCAAGAAGTAGGACAGTTGTGTTCAAAGCACCCCCCGACGGATGGCCATCCAGCTTCTGCTTAAAAGCCTCCAAAGAAGGAGCCTCCACCATCAAGTCATCAGGTGACTCTATGGATTTTATAGGGTTTTCTTAGACAAGAAAAACACAGAACTGGTTTTGTCAGTTCCTTCCTCTGAAATATGCCCTACAGCTCTTGGTAATCTCACTCACATCCAAATTTGATAAGTATGCTTTCTATTCCTTCATTCACCTGAGTTATAAAGGTGTTGAATAACACTCAACCCAAGAAAGAACTGTGTTAGCAACTTGTTTCCTGATTGATAGCCTGAGATGTAGAGCCAAAAAAAAATGCTTATATTCTTAGGTCACGTTCTTAATTAGGGAATCACAACCACACCTGTGAAGATACTGATCTGCTTTCTTGATCTGTCAGCTAGTTGGGCTTCATTGTGCGGCAGAACATTATGAGGTAGGCAGTGCGTTATCAAGTCATTGATTTGGGAGAGTGCAACCTTGCTTATCCAACCCACCA